CCCTCCCTAAACCCCCCAATCCAGCAACGCAGTCGCGTCATATTACGCGAATGCCGTGTTGCTCGGCGCTGCTGTTGCGGCTGCGGGCATCCTTGCTGCATCGACCGGTCGCGAGCGCGCGAGCACCCGGTTCCATCCCTCTCTATCGGAGGACAGACACAGAGAGAACAGCACGGAGAGACCACTCGCTCTCCCTTCTCCCTCCTTCCCCCCTTAACCCCTCATTCTCGGCATTCTCGTTTTGCGACGTTCGCTCGTCAGTCAGCGACATGGGCACTACCCAATTATCGACTTGGAATCCACAATCGCGCGCGGAGAGGAGCGCGCTCTCGCTGGTCGATATGCCCTACGTGATAACGCGTTTTATCGAACGCGGGATGAAAGATGATGAGGACAAAAAAATAGAGATAAAGAGAGAGAGAGAGAAAGAGAGAGAGGGACGAGGCATCCAGACTGCGCGCAAACAAACCTGATAATCTAAGTTATCTAAATTGGAGATAGCGATCCACGGTTTCACATTGTGAAGGGGCGCGATACACAGCAAAGATTCGATGTATTCCGACGGAGAATTCGGTCATGGTCGTCTACTCCGATCTACGCCGCCTCGCAAATTCCGCTCCCTTGTGGTCCATGGACGCGCAAAAACGCAGAGCGGAAAAGGCCGCGGGCGGCACCGAAGCCGCGAGGTCATACGAGATGAGTGCGCGGAGATATCGACACCTGTCGTACGCACACACGAATCTAAAAATGCTTCCCCGAAAGAATGGAGAGTGCGAGCTCCAAATTATTTTATCTAGGACACGTAGAGCGCGCAATTTGTTCAATCGCTTTTCAATTCAATATATGTTTTTCACTGGATTAATATTCGAAATTCATACGATCTCGATGAGTTTAATTCCTCAATTTTTAATAAATATAAGAAATTGTCTCAAATGTGACAACAATATATCATTTATTCGGAAGGAAAATGACACAAGGCAAAAAAAAACAAAACTTATTTTTCTTTGCACTAAAAGCTTAAAAGATATACAAGATGTACAAAATGAAAAAAAAGGACTAATTTCTTTTGTTCCTTTTACCTTTTTACCATTTTTCTTCCACTTAAGACTTATGAGATAAAGTTCGCAATATCGACAATAGAATTATAAATTTTAATCTGAGGTTAAGAAACAATCAAGATTAGGTTAGGTTTATGTGGCATATAATGATATACATTATTTTACACGTTTACGCATAAAATCGAGAGCAAAATTTGGGATTGTAATTTTTTACTTGCGAATTGACATATAAAATCACGACTGGCCGCTTAATTCGATGCCTATTGTTTCCTGCTCGACTAATACCGGCACAATCGTATGGACTGATAAATGCGATCGGTGTAGTGCAAAACCGCATTTATTCGCCGAATGTCCTGGCTATTGCATCGATCGTAACAACGGGTGGAAGCAAGTACAAGACTCATCTCATCACGAAATCGAGAGCGCTCAGCTGTCACACCATGTGCTTGTTCGTGCCGGTGCTATCACCAAGGTCGAAGGTCGAAGCGTTGTTACTTTGATAGTGAAAATAAAGTCCACGCGTTGTCACGACAGAGCGATACTTGAACGCGTTAAAATGTAAAATTTGATATGGACTCACCCCTGTCGAATTTTTTGCCTTCCGGATCGATGTCTTTTACATTAAAAATATCCTCGAACAACACACCCGCCATTTTGCTACTGCACGATTGCACCGCACTCTGATGGCGGATAGACGAAACTGTTGCCAGGCGCGTAATATGCTTTTGCAAGTCCTAGAGCTTGTTATTTTGGCCCTGAAATCGATAATTTATTTAAATCATTAATTATTTTCAGAACTTATTTTAAATTTTTGAAATAATATACTATATTTCCCAAAAATTTTTTGCTCTGTCATTTTTTTATAAAAATCTTCAAATCTGCAGAATTGCAATTCATATTTGTCTCTTTGTATGTGTAATATTCTTACAAATCATTCATCTCTCTCTGTTTGCATTACTCATTCTTATAAAAAACAGTCTGCCGTGACTAAATATAATTAATGACATCAGTTATTACGAAAATAGAAACATCTATTAGAAAAAAATGACAGCAACTTATTTAATTTAAAATAACCATCAATTTTATTTTTATTGTTTAAATTTAATTTTGTAAAAAGGTATTAAAAAATATTAAAAGTAGAGAGAGAGAGAGAGAGAGAGAGAAGAAAAGAGAAGAGAGAGAAGAGAGAGAGTTCTTGTATTTGAGTAATTAAAATTACGACGGAATAACTGTGCG